TAAAACCAATATGTGAAATAATGTAATTACTATTAATATTTTTTATTCATTCTCTGTGTGTTACTTCCACATAACTGGTACTATGATGTCAGTATTTTTATATATTATTGAACATAACTATGTTTTTTATGCATATATGCTATTGTATTTTTCGTTGTGAGAAAAATTTTGATGTCCCATCTTACGACATGGAAGATATTTTCTAAGTTAGTGCTTAAAAACTAATTTTAGCAAAATTACCCTAAGCCCTCTATTTTTTTTTTTTTGCTTTTTTAATTTAAATTTAAAAAAATTTTCTTCCAAAAAAGTTCTTAATTTTTTTAAAGTTTTTTAATATTTGACTTTTTTATATTCTTCATATTTATTTTATTTTCATTTTTTTATTATATATATTACAAATCCTAAAAAAGGAAAAAAAGTCTCCATACACTATACTATACGCAAGCACCTTAATTGATCCTCTTCATCTTCTATTCTATTAAACTTCAGCGTCCAGTCACTAATTGTTTCTACGCTTTAAGCATTTTAATTTGTTTTCATTAGATTTATTTTCACTTAATTTCTTATTTCTCTCTATCAGTTTCGGCGCCCACTAACCACATTTTTCAGACTTCCCATTAGTTTTTTTTTCTGTCCGTAGACAGCCAACATATTGTTAACACTAATTCAAGCCTCTGATCCCCCCTTTTAATCACTTTTAACAGCCTTTAATACAATTTACTTTTCTGATAGCTTGCCTTTATATCAACCTAAAGTTTCTTAATAAACTCCATCCAATTTTATTTAATTCTCACTTTTTTCCTATCACTCATCCCATCTCCTTCAAACACCTCGTATTTTGCATCACCTTATAATTCATTTTTATTTCTCTCATATCTCCTCTTCTTATTAACCTAGAGCAATCTAGAAACCTCCATCTATCGCCTTATAATATCTTTCATCTAGAACCACTCTCGACCCCAAATAACCTCCGTCAGCTAACCCCTTTTAATTTTTTTTCCGCTAGTTTTTTTTTGGGGGGGGGCGAACTATAAGCCTTCCAACAAACTCCCTTTAACTTCTTTCAATTTAAACTTTCTTCTGACTTCACACTCAACTCTCTCTGACTCCCCTTCTTTTCACCCTCATATTTACCGTGGTTTAAATTATCCTGTTCTTCTCTTCTAATTAATGTAGAGCCTCCAAACAAACTTTCTTTTAGTAATACCTTCCCACTGAATTAATTTAATTTTCTCTGACCCCCCTTAATCTTGGTCCCTTTTAGTTAATCTATTTTAAGACTTCGGAATAATTCTCGCAGCTCAGAAATCTTAGCTCTGCAGTTATTTAACTCTATTATTATAATTATCAACCATTTTCATCTTACACACTGTAGTTGTGCGTACTGACTCACCTACTGATCAGCTAGTTTTATCTGATGAAAAATGAAAGATACATGCACTGAAAGATCTGAAAGTTGCCTAGACTTGGCAACACTTATTTCGTCAAATTCAACCACCCATGAGGAGAAAGTGCATTTAATCTTTAAAGAGTGCACAAATATTGTAACATCAAAAAAAGAGGAATAAGTTTCTTCTACCAACGGAAGATCGTGAGCATATAGTTAAGGCTCTTGCTGCTCTTCAAACCCTCGCTTTGCAAGGCTCCGCATATAGAACATCGCCACCATCAGTTGAAGCAGCTGTAAATACAGATTTTGTACTTTATCCGACGTCTGGAACAGCTACCACAAACAATCTGCCACCAGAGCACATGCCCAAATCCTTTGCGGACGTATTACGGCGACCAAAGAAACCAAGTTTAGTCATTCAGCCTCGTGGTGAAGTCTCTGCAGAAGAGCTAAGAAACCAACTTAATTCAAAGGTTCCAATAGCGCAGCTAGGTGTGGCAGTGGATAAAATAACATCCACTAGAAGGGGCGGAATAGAGGTACACTGCAAAACAGCGGAAGATGTTCTCAGACTTGAAGAGTGACTTCAGCAAGCCAAAGTTTCAGCTGACATCAAGGAACCAGCAAGGCGGAAACCACGCTGAGTCATCCATGATGTCGCGGAATGCACTAAACCAGAAGAAATCATTGATGAACTCTGTGAAATTACAAGAATGCCGAGAAGCTCCTATAAGCCCCTTTTCCGCATCAAGGAAAGGAGAAATGGCCGAGTCAAGTGGGTCATTGAATGTGACTGAATGTGAAAGTATACACGGGATGGACAGCGCATGGTATTAAAGAATACCTCGGTATCGTGCGGTGTTTCAGGTGCCAGCTATATGGCCACACCCAAGGAAGTCTGCCAGAGTAAAAGAAATTACTGTGGATACTGCGGGGGAAATCATGCAACAAGAGAGTGCATGGCCAATAGTGCAGAATGTATCAACTGTGGAGAGGCCAATCACAAATACGGCACCCATCACGACTACAGGCACCCAGCATATCATCCAAGCTGCCCTGAATTCCAGCGGAGCATTCGTTACGTCCGCAGTATTACAGAGTACTAAAGGCAGTAACGGGGAAACGAACAGTTGTCACAGAGCTCAATTCCTTAGCAATCCAGAAGACTGACACGTACTCAGGCAACAGAGCATCCGATAAGAATCCTGAACGTATATCTCAGGAACCCACATCTTCCATAACTCACGAAAGCAATTTTCCTTTTATGCCAATAAATACTAACATCTTCGAGCATGATGAGATTAAGATACTCCAGATAAATTTACAAAGAGCCAGAGCCGCAACGGCCCAGCTGGTGCAACAAGCGATGGAAGCGGAAGTAGACTTTATTCTTGCTCAGGAGCCGTACCTTCAAGCAAATAATGTAGCTGGCTTCCCTCTAATGTGGACCATCATCCAGTCACATGATGGAGAAGGCCCAAGAGTAGCTACTATTTGCTGTAATCAAAAATGGGCACCCACTATCATCAAAGCTACCAGAGATGCAGTAACAATGGCGATTGAGGCAAAAAATCTTAGAATACTAGTTACTAACATCTACATCCCTCCCACGGCAGACATTTCTGAATCACTAGATCTACAACAAAGAATTCTGGCTGATTACCCCAACGAACAGCACCTTCTTGCGGGGGACTTTAATGCGCATTCTGAAACCTGGGGATATCCACATACGGATCTGAGAGGACGTGCAGTAGAAGACTTTGTGGCAAGTAATGATCTATCCATTCATAATGAGCCTGAATGCCTGCCTACGTTTGAAACCGTTAATGGCAAAGGGTGGCCGGATTTAACGCTCTCATCTGCAGCCCTGACCCCAAAGATAAAAAATTGGACAGTTGAGGATTCCATTACCAACTCAGATCATAGGTACATTACCTACAGTATAAACCAACAGCATGAAAGGCTAGTAATGAAGCGCTATAAGCTTACCAGAAGTAAAACTACTCAATTTTCTAGGAAAGCACGTCCAATCCTAAATAGATTATTAATGGAGCTGCCAAACACCATAACAGTCAAAGACGCGGAAGAATTGACCAATAATTTGATCAGTGACCTCCAAATTATCTGTGACAGCACCTTTGCGCTGAAAACCCCCAAAATGCTACACGCTGCAAACTGGTGGACCAGGGACCTCAGAACACAGCGTAGCCGTACCAGAGCTATGCGCAGGCGCATGAAAGCAGAAAGAGATCAGGATGCTAGACAATTACTATCCATAGAATATAATAAAGCGCAGGCCAAGTATAAAAAGGCCATATTACGGGCCAAACTTGAAAGCTGGAAAAATTCTGCACTGATCATAGAGATACCTATGGGATTCTGCACCAAATAGCCAGCGAAAAAGTTTTTAAACCGACTCTACATCACACTTTTGATGGTCATGCCTATGGAGAGTCAGGTATTATGGAAGCAACCATAAGAAGAATCCTAGATGCGGTTTTTCCATGAGGATGACACATAAGACTTGCAATTGCATCCGGCATTCTCACTTATATCAGGCACTCCAAATGATGTACCTTATACCGATTCAGAAGTAAATGCAATTATGCGAAATCTGCCGAAGAAGAAAGCTCCAGGTCCCGATTCTTTAGATTACGATATCATTAGAGCGGTGCACAATGCGAATCCGAAATTTCTTGTCACCTACTTCAATAAGCTCCTCTCTCTGCAATATTTTCCTAAGTTCTTTAAGATCGGGCAAGTGGTCCTATTTCAGAAATCTGGAAGAGACAAAGAAGATCCTTCTTCCTTTCACCCCATCTGTCTTCTTTCGGCTTTAGGCAAAATTTATGAAAAGTTGACAATACTCAGGATCAAGCATCATTTAACTTTGTCTGGCCACATCTCAGAGGCGCAGTTTGGCTTCAGGGAGAACCGTTCCACTCTTAACGCTCTTGACATTGTTAAAGATGAAGTTCAAAAGATCAAAGAAGATAACCAGCATGCGGCCGTCCTCAGCCTTGACTTACAGAGTGCGTTTGACTCCCTGTGGTGGCCTGCCATCATTGAAGCTTTACATGCGGCAAGCGTGCCTAATAATCTTCTACAAGTAATTAAAAGCTATCTCAGCGACCGCACTTTTACCGTGGTCTATAATGGCGGCATAGTGAATAAAAAGCAAATACGAGGCTGTCCACAGGGGTCATGCGCTGGACCAGATCTCTGGAATCTCACATTTTAACTCCATACTGAATGCGCGTTGGCCGTCGCATACAAAGACAGTAGCCTTTGCAGATGATGCCACTTTCATCGTTCGAGGCCACAGCAGGGACGAATTGGAGAAAAGCTGCAACAAGGTTATCTCGCTCTTTGACAACCTCTGCACTGGAAAACACTTAAAAATATCACAGGATAAATCAAAATACATTATATTTCACAAGCCTAAACAAACTAGCATAAGAAACCCGTGCATCAAGGTAAGAGGAGTGACGGTCAAGAGGGTCAAGTAGTTAAAACTCCTTGTCCTCATTTTGGATGAAAACCTCACTTGGATTCCTCACTTGCAAGCCCAAAGGTCAAAGCCACAAGAATAGCGACTAGAATTAAAAATATGCAGGGTAAAGATTGGGGATTACGACCCCACATCCTCAAGACTATTTACAAGACGGTAGTGGAAAAAATAGTTTTGTATGGGGCAGCTATTTCGGCCCTACCCATGACTGCGAGAAAATTGAATTTACTTAATAGCATCCAACGACCTTTCATCCTTGCTATCACGAAAACATACAGGACAATGACCACAGCAGCGGCAGCGGTTTTAGCTGGACTTACTCCTCTGCCAATAGCCGCACTACAAGAGGCAACTGTCTCTACTGTCATGCTTCTTAGGAAGTCAGCCTCATTTAGGGGAACTACATTTGTACCATCAGACTTTGAGAACAAAAATTCTCAGCTCAAAGTTCATCCCGCTAGTTATGGGTTGGGCATTCGTGCCCATACCTCTATGTCTCAGGATTTACGGGTAAGAGACACAGGCGGTGCAAATACCATCAGCATATTCACTGATGGCTCAAAAATCAACGAAGAGGCAGGCTGCGCTTTTATTTCTCATTATCATGATAAAGTCATAGAAACATGGAAAGGATACCTTGGACTTAATAGATCGGTATTCCAAGCTGAAGCAGTAGCATTGCGCCAGGCTATAACAGCAGCTATGATGTTTGTTGACCAAGAAGTTTGCATTTTCTCAGATGGTCAGTCGGCAATCTTTGCTCTTCGTGATCCATTCCATCCATCACCGATCGTAGCAGATATACAATGCCTGCTCAAAGAAAATGCGCATGACTGCAACATCCAGATTTTATGGATTAAAGCGCACGTGGGCCACAGGGATAATGAGGATGCAGACCTCTTGCAAAGGAAGCTGCAAAGAATATCGGTGCGCAAGATGTCCAGATCCCGCTTCTTAAATCTTATCTGAAGCGAGTCTGTCGCATTAAATCGCAGCAACAATGGCAAGAGGAATTGGACTCTATATCGCAAGGCCGTAGAACCCATGACTTTGTCCATAGAGTTTCCCAAGATCGACTCATCTCAGCCCATTTTCGTTCCCGTTTCATTACAGGCCACGGACCATTTCCCCAATATTTCTACCAAAGGGGAATATCAACAACTGATCATTGTGTCTGTAATGAAGTAGGTACACCTGATCATTACGTTACGTCTTGCCCTCTCACGGAAGAATGGCACATGAGGCTTACTGATACTGACATTGCTTATAAACGCTTCTTCATTAAGCAGCCAGCCTATCTCAAGAAGCTCAAAAGCATTATGAAGAAACTTGAAGCACTAGGACTAGAATTATGCAGTCCAAAATAACAGACTTAAATTTCGCAGAGATTCAGAGCACACTGGTTTTCAGTGGCCTCTGCAAGAAGCCCATCTTGAGTCAGTACGCAGAGTAACATTAGGCTGGGAACACGGAAAACAAATGTAAATATGATTTAATATTATCCAAATGTAAATAGTTGAATTATGTATATTTGTAATGAGCATATTATTGCATGGGTGCAATATTGTAATGCATGGGTGCAATATTGCATGTGCATTTTATAAATAGAATATTGTGCAGAGTATTGTGAATAATGTATTGTACAGCACACTGTGTATAGTACCTTGGTAAAATGTGTAAGTGCTCGTAGCATGCAGAGCTATGCTTTGAGCCGCAGGATGCATAATAATTATAACTGTAGTACTACAACTTAATGTATTCAAGAGCACAGAATGTAAATATTATAGTGGTAATTATTATAGTAGTTATATGTATGTAAATATTATTGCATTCTGTAAATTTTAGTGCATTGAGTGATTTATATATAGTAGTGTGTTAACGTGCATATTATGAAATGTATAGTGCATGGTAAATACGGTATTTAATGTATCTAGCACATGTAATTTTTTAACTGCAATTAATTTAATCTGTAATTTTTTCCCTCAATGTGTATTTCTAACAGTGTTTTTTATAAGCTTTTTGTATTAAGAATTATGTTGTATATAACAAAGTGTGTTACTACCACTGGCTATATTATTTAATCAAGAGTAATGTTCAATGTAATATGTAGCCAATACACACAGTGCATTATGTGTAGAAATGAGTTTTGTAAGGTGTCCTAAATATAGTGCAGTGTTCAATGCAATATGTATTATAAAAATTTTAGTGTATTGGGTGTTTTATATACAGCAGTATGTTAAGGTTCAATGTAACCAGTAGAATGTTTAATTACAAAGTTATTTTTGGTATGTTTTAAGAATACAGCAAAATTTATGCCACAGTTAACTTTTAACATGTTATTTAATCAAAAGTAATATGGGCTGTACTATGTCCTTAAAGCTGTATTTTGTATATTATAAGTACAGCACAAAGTAAACAAAGATGATTTCTGTGTGCAAAATGTGTAATCTGTTTGTAGTGTGCAATTTTGCTCTTTATTTAAGAGCTTTTAATTTATTTATCTGTTGTATCAAGTTATTTATTTAAGTCTGTCTTATATAACGAAGTTATATACTATATAATCCAGTTATGTCTTATTTAAACAATTACATTGTTCAGAATCTATGTTGAATTGTCAAGAATAATGTTTAGCGTAATATGTTGCAAAGTATAGTGTATTAAGTGTAGCATTGAGTTGTAAATGTGCCTTAAGTACAGTGCAGTGATCAACGCAATGCATATTATGAAATGTATATTGTAGCGAGTATGTGTAGTAATGTGTTAACATGCGATGTAGCCAGGAAAATGTTTAATTTCGCATGCAGAAAAATCTATATTTTGCCCTTGTATGGCCATGTACTTTGCCCTTGTATTGTTTTCGGAATGTAGCTTCAGATAGTTGCGGGTTCCGGACGATACCCGACTAGTCTATGTAAGCCGTCCGGGTGTCCGGACCTGCTCTCACCTGTCACCTGTCGTTCCATTCACCTGAGAGCCATCTGTATAAATCTTTAAGCATCGTTGTATAAGCACGGACATTCTTGCAGAAAAGGGTCGGGTGTACTTCCGCAACTTGTAGATTGCTCTCAAAGTCCTCCGGTGAGAAATAGAGGTTCTGGTATTGAGCAGGTTGCTTAAGGAGAGTGACTTTTGCGATGACCGCTTCACTTTGGGCCCGTATGTGCAGTGGAATAAGTCCAGCCAGCATTGTGGCTGCTGCAGTCGCTGTGGTCCTGTAGGCCCTCGTGATGGCCAAAACAAATGGGCGCTGAACGCTGTTCAAAATTTGTTGCTTCCTCGTAGTCATTGGAAGTGCCCATATAGCCGCCCCATAGATAAGCATTTTTTCTACCACTGTACAGTATATTATCTTTAGAATGTGGGGCCGGAGCCCCCAGTCTGAGCCTTGCATGCCCTTTATTCGAGGGGCTATTCTATGAGCTTTAATGCGTTGAGCTCGCAGATGCGGGAGCCAGGAGAGTTTTTCATCGATTAATAAGCCGAGAAGCTTTAGTTTTTTCACTCGTTTTACGCTCTTTTGTCTAAGGTGGATTGCGAAGGAGTGTCTGGCCAGGTTTATGGAATATTATATATTTCGACTTGAGCTCCGAGATTCGTAGCTTCTTTTGGTTGCATAGCATGTCAAACTGCGAGATAACGTCATTGCAGCGGGCTTCGAGAACGTGCCTGCTGTGTCCTCTGACGATGAATGTAGCGTCATCTGCAAATGCAAATGCCTTCGCTCCTTCCGGCCACTGAGTGCACAAGATCGAATTGAAAGTCACGTTCCACAGGACAGGAACAGCGCATGATCCCTGTGGACAGCCCCTGGTCTGTTGTCTGGTAATGATTCCTCCGTCGTGCACAACTATGAATTTTCTGTTGCTGAGGTAACTTTTAAAAAACTGTAAAAGATTGTTTGTAATATCAGCTGTGTGCAGGGCTTCGAGCACAGTAGGCCACCACAGGGAATCAAATGCGCTTTGGAGATCTAAACTTAGCACTGCTACGTGTTGATTGTTACTGCAAGCTTCCGTGATTTCTTTCTGAAGAAGATCAAGGGCATGGACCGTTGATATGCTTTCCCTGAAACCGAATTGTAGCTGCGACAGGAATTTTTTCCGGGTGAGGTGATGCTTTAGTTTTGTGACTACAAGCTTTTCTAAAATCTTTCCTATTGCCGACAACAAGCATATCGGGCGGAAGGAGGCAGGGTCATTCGGATGCTTCTCAGGTTCGGCAAAGAGGACTACTTGCCCCGTTTTAAATGCCACTGGAAAATACCTGTGCTCCAGCAATTTGTTGAAATACTTGCAGAGGAATCCGGGTTTTGCCTTGTGTACAGCTTTGACTATGCTGTAATCAAGCGAGTCCGGGCCTGGTTCTTTTCGCTTGGGCAGAATACGCATGATAGCGTTGACTTCCGGATCCTGAAAGGGAGGATCGTCAGTTGCCGTCGTGAAGAGCTGATATGCCAGGTGAGAATTTTCTGTGAATTCCTCATGACTGTCGTTTGAAAAGACTGCATCCAGGATTTTGGAGAGTATTCCTCCTTTGCAGTCTCTTGCTCTATTGGTGAACTGTCAAAAAGGCGAAGCTGTTGTGGTTTAAAGACACTACCTCGTGCTATTTTGAATACCGCACCATAAATATCGATGTTATTAGTGCAAAAGTTTCTCCAACACGCAAGCTTTGCTCTAAGAATTGCTCTTTTATATTCCTCTTGCGCCTTTCGGTATGAGATGCTGAGTGCCAGCCTAGCTTCCTGGTCGTATTCTGCTTTCATGCGCCTTCTCATTGCGCGTGTTTTACTGCACTGCGCTCGGAGATCTTTCGTCCACCAGTTCGGCATATGCAGCGTTTTCCGCGTCTTCAGGGAAAAAGTACTGTTGCAGATGTCCTGTATTGTGGAGATCAGAGAGCTGGTGAACGGTTCCGGGTCCTGGGATGTAGTGCATGCTGTGAGATCTTCCTCTGCGCTTCTAAGGGAAAAACGAACTTTGTTTATGAATTGCGCTGTCTTTCGCTTTGTAAGCTTATAGCGCTTGAGGGTCATTCTCGTATGTGGATGGCAAATATTGTAAGTAACATACAAATGATCAGAGTTGGATGGTAAGTCTTGCACCGTCCATTGTTGGATACATGGGGTCAATGAAGCTGAGGTCAAGGTTAGGTCAGGCCGACCCCTACCATGAACCGTTTTATACGTTGGAGGACTGTCTTCAGTGTTGTGCAAAGTTAAATCATTGCTGGCCACGAAATCTTCTATGGTTCTCCCTCTTGCGTCTGAGCTTGGGTAGTTCCAAACTTTCGAGTGCGCATTAAAGTCACCTGCAAGGAGATGTGACGTACTAGGATATTGTACAAGAGTTCTCTGAATTAGTTCCAAGGAGTATGTCATGTCTTCAGATGGTGAAAGGTAAACATCCGTGATAAGCACATTGAAGTTTAATGTCTCTGCAGCTATAGTAATTACGCGTGTGGCTAGGACGATGGTGGAAGACCATTTCTGTTGGCAGCATATTATTGCCGTTCGCGGGCCTTCGGCAGTATTGCCCTGAAATACAGTCCACGAGAGAGGAAAATCGGACGAAGAAAAAGACAGAAGGAGGAACGAAAAGACTGGCACCAACGGAAAAAATTCAAGCAAGAATCCAGACCGGAGGCCGCCAAGACCAGCCGTCCAGGGGCCAAACGGAAAAGACAGGAACCCGAAGACTACTACCCCAAGAAGCCGGAGTACAGAAGGCGAAAAAGAAAAGTCCACCATGGAGGAAACTCGAAGAAAACCCAAAAGCGGAGATTGACTTCCTAATGAATTCTATAACTTGGGATCAATTCTGCCAGAAGGATGTCGGAGTTCCAAGTCGAAAAGTCAAAGATAAGTTAAAATCTCCTATAAATTTTTTCTTTTGTTCTGAAATGTTATGCGTAAATACGAAGTTCTATGTGTTGACGGAAGTCAATTTGTCTCGGTTGAGACTTAGTTT